CACCCTTTCCTCCTCACCTCCGACGACCGCCCCTTTTGACCCCCAAATTTCTCCATTTTCCGAGCAAACAGACTAATGAAAACCTTCTCAAACAGCCCGTCATTGTACTTCGTCTTCTGCCCCATCGGTGCCGGTTGTCCCGACGGCTCCGCAATGCCACACCGGAGAGTGAGGTTACCCCGACCGATGTCCCATCGCCGTCGTCTATAGCTAGCAGAACGTGGGTTGTCGGGGTAAACTGATAAACCTGTATGATGATATGCTCTGTGGATCGGTTGGAAATTAATCAGCGCCACCATCTGAATTTAATTTGTGTAAATTATGTTTGTGCTTTGGAGATAAGGAGAGCACTGTCAATTGACGTAAAGGGATAAAATTGGGCTGAAATACTGCTGGCCACAATTGTGTGTACTATGGAGTAAAGAATGACAAGAACGGTTCTTTTGATACTCCACTCCTTATTTAGAGAAATGCTAGCCATACACGACTTATACATAAAATGTTGGTCACAGACAATTGGTACGGAGTTGCGTGTGAGCATAGACAAGAATTGTTTGTGTACACAGACCAATTTGTTTGTGTCCACAAAAATTTACTTTTTTGTAAAAAGTACAGTGACAGACGTCTGACACTGACACCAGTTTGCAAATCAATCAATATATGTGCAGTGCATGTGTGCACAGACAATTTTTTCATGTTGCACAGACAATTATTTATCTATGTGCACAGACAATAGTTGTGCGACTCACAAACAATAGTTGTTTGTGTGATCAATTTTAGTTGTCAGTGTGATCAATTTCAATTGTCTAAGTGAACTAAATATTTAATTGTGTATATACCTCCAAATGAATGATGTAGTTGAATATGTCAATTTACATGTAATTTGAAAAAAAAATAGAAAAATAATCAAAATAGATGAAATAATATGAATAAGATAATTTTATGCAAATAATGGAAAAAAATTATATAAAAAGGTAGAGAAAAGAGGATAAAGAAGGAAAGAAGAGAATTTTAGAAGAGGTTGGGTAATAAAGAGAGAAAAGAGAAGGGAGAGAGGGGGAACAGAGAAGGGAGTGAGAAACGAGAGAGAAGAGGGAGGGGAGAAATGAGATTTTTTTTGGGGTTTTATACCATGTACAAGTTGTGTACTCACGTGCACTTTGTCGTGATGTGCACTCAAAATAATAATACAATACAACACTTATACGTAGTATAGCGTAGTAAGGTTCGTATCCGCAGGGAAAGGAATACTTCTCTTTTGGAAGAGTTTAGCTCCTCATTTGGAGACTAAACATGATGGAAAATATAAAGAAAACATTAATCTAAACTGAGCTAAAGAGTATATATGAATTGGTGTTTTTATTGTGAAGGAAAGGGGTGTATTTATAGGCTTTTGGGAGCTGCAGGGTCTGATACCCGATCGGGCATATAGGATACCCGATCGGGTATCTTAGAAAATTGCCCAGAAAGTCACTTTTCTGGGCATACCCGATCGGGATGTCGGCATACCCGATCGGGATGTCGGCATACCCGATCGGGTATGTGACAAATCTTCACGAAAATTTGCTCCCACGATCATTTCTTCCCGGATTTGATTTGGACAATCGAATCAAGCGAATACCCGATCGGGTATAGGCAATACCCGACCGGGTACATGAGTATTTTTTCCAAATCGAAATCTTTCTTGTCTCCTTGCACTTTCCTTGATCTTTTGAGGTCCAATCTTGATCCCTTGGATGATCTTTGACCTGTTTAGCTCAGAATAATCCTAATCTAAACAAATTACAAATAAAAAGGGAAAACTGTCAAATATGTCCTCGAACTTTCATAAAAAAGTCAATCAAATCCTTATTTAGGAGGCTCTGTCCGGTCGTCGCGATTTGGGGTGATTCCCGGTGGAATTTTTTGATGAAATTTTATGAGCATCTTATTCATCAAGTCTAGTTTACTCATACCAAATTTGAGCTAAAACTTCAATCGGGAACGCATTCAAATTAATTCTTGAAGATAACTGCTCATTTAACTGCACAGTTATCTTCAAGAATTAATTTGAATGCGTTCCCGATTGAAGTTTTAGCTCAAATTTGGTATGAGTAAACTAGACTTGATGAATAAGATGCTCAAAATTTTTTATCAAAAACTTCCTTCAAGAACCGCCCCAAATCGCGACGACCGGACAAAGCCTCCTAAATAAGGACTTAATTGACTTTTTATGAAAGTTCGAGGACCTATTTGACAGTTTTCCCCAAATAAAAATGAAAATAAAATATTACACCAAAAGTGTGTAATTTCCACAACTAGAACTAATAAAAACTAGTTAAAAATACAAACATACAATCAGAAATTACACGAATATCATGTACATGGTGTGTACACTAAGAAAAATCACCTTATTTATGTGTTTCTTGCTTTTGCTTTTGGCACAATATTTTAGGATAAAATAGTAAGGGTAGTGAATAGTGTAAAAAAGTAGGAGAAAGTGTGTAAAAGTATGAAAAATAAGATAAAAAGTAGATAAAGTAAGGGTAGCTGAGTATTTTATAAAGGATAAACTTGTCAAAAATGGAAGTGTAGAGAATTTTTAAATACAACCCAAATATGGCCCAACACACATGAGTCGTGACCTTCACACAGACATTGCGAGTTTTTAATTTTGATCGTTCGGCAAAATTTCTCACCACTTTAACATTTGAGCTATCTATGCGAGTAATTTTACCAAAGTTCATTGTCGAGGGCATAACTCACCTAGTAGGAGGGGGTGTCATAAGGGAGCGGTCTTGATTTAATTTCACATAAAGACTTGGATTTGAAATTCACTCTCTTTCTATCAGTGTGTGATTATTAAAACTTAATATACATCCTCTCATGTAACCGTCTGGTCAATTCTGGAGGACTTGGGATAGGGTGTCATCCTTTGCCAAAATTGACTGACACGTAAAATTATAAAGTAAAAATTGTGTGATTGAAGTTTGTGCAAAGAGGGAGGAATTAACAAGAACCGAAGTTGGTAGGAGTTAGAACCACCAAAACAAAAAAGTTTGCAAAATTATGAGACACAGAAGTAGTGATTTTTTTAACCCGACATGGAGGTAAGGTGGGGCGTGCAGTACAACCGTCCCTTGAAACTTGAAAATGTTCTATTATGTGTATTACCCCCATCTAATTTGATTTGTACATTTTCTTGTTTTTATTGTTCCAAAACTAGGTATGAGAATACGAACAAATCGACCTACAAATTGATCGAAATCGAACTGAATGAAACAAAAACCGGCTAAAATCATCTAACCCATCGGCGATTTGGTTTACGGTTTATACTTGTTGGCTATCAAAACGATTGAACCGAAATTGACAAAAAAAAGTCAACAAAAATATGCTAAAGCTGACCAGAACCGATACAAAATAACCAAAATGAACCGAAATAAAAACGATCTATACCGACTCAAGTTGTCGGTTCAGTTCTCGAAATCACCTTTTTTTAACCGAGCAGATGTAATCGAAATTGATGAAACATAACTGATGAACACTCCTAATGTCAACTATAATATCCACATCTAGCCCCACTCTCTATCTATCAGGTTGTGATTATAGTCCAACTTACATCCTCCCATCATTCAGTCTGGTCGGTGTTGGGGGGCCTTCAGGGATGGGGTGTCATCCTTTTTTTATAATATCCACATCTAGACATCATCTGGCCTTGACATTGTGGAATTTCTTTTCATCAAAAAGTAGATAACGGAGTTTACATCGGGAGAGGCACGCTCTATATATCATTTGTATTTGTTTATATTTTTATGCCACATATGAACCATTCATGTTTTGTATCAGAGATGCCCTTAGATTTTACTGCCTCTGCCCAACTATGTTTGGGACAATTTGGTTTATGATGCTAGACCGACGATAAAGCAAACAGATCCATGTCCGCACTCAAATTATTTTTAGAAAAAAAAATACATATTCAGAAACTACATTAAAAGCTTTACAAAGTCACAAAAACCAGAACCAAATTTGATAAAAATTTGATATATAAAGTAAGAGACTAAGAGTGATTTGTGTTGACCAAGTGAATAGTGTCTGGGACAATCTTAGCAGGACGGAAGGAGTAGTAGATTGCAGTTGTATGTTTCCAGATTTATGATACTCTCTTGCCACTCTTTGAAAAACAAAAAATATCTCTCTTTTTTGTAATCCACAATAGTAACACTATCATCACATACCCTGATACCCATCACCCATGCAAAGATATATACTCTCATTTTGTTTTTCAACTAATATATAGTATATGTTTAAGCAAGAACTTGACAGTTCAATTAAACAATAAAAATTAAAGATTTATGGGTTTCGTGCAAGAAGATGCTATTAAGAATTCAAGAAATAAGGTCAAGAATATTGTTCAAATGATTTGTGAATACAAGGGTAGTATGAGCTTGTGGTTTTCGAATGAATCCTTCCCTTCTCGAGATACCCTTATTTATTCTGTTCTGCCGTATGCCCCCTTAGCTTCTTACTAAACTACATGGTAAGTACTATTTTATTTACATTTAACTAGATTTTCACCCGTGCTTCGCACGGGATGCAGTTACTAAGCAATATATTTGGAATATATAGAACTATTGTGATGGAGATAGATCAATGCATATATTGTTTTCAACAAAAGTAATGAAGATAAAAAATGCAAATTATTATATACTTCCTTATAAACATCTTTTAAAGTCTTGGTGGCCAGTTTTCAGTCATCATCATGGGCGGAGCTAGGGGTGGGCCAACCTAGGCCATGACCCACCCCTAATTTTAAAAATGGTTTAATTTTTAAGGTAAAAAATTTGGTATAATTTTTTTTCTAAAAGAATTCTTTGTACTGGCCCAGTCCGGCCCAGTGCCCTGGCTCCGCCCCTGGTCATCATCACATATAATAAACTTCAACTTAGACATGGACATTACTATTGAGACAACGACATATGAACACATCAATTCTCTCCAAAGACCGTTCCTGGTCCTTATTAATGATCATCGTGTAAATAAGTATCAAAAGGAATGGTCTACTCTATATGTGAATGGTAGCTTTAGGTTAGATGGAGTCAATCTAAGATTTAGAATAAGAAACTTTTGTCTTGCATTTGTTCCAAGCATCATCTGAGCGTCGAGAATACGGGTTCCGAATTTAGTGACGATAATGCGAGTGTCATTACACAATTCAGAGGAATGATTGATATTCCTCATTAGCAGCATAACTGCACCCACTTTAGGTTTCAGCTCGTGTCTTGGCACACCAGAACATTTAGTGCTATTGAGAAATTCTAGAGAACGGATCCCTTGGAGGAGTGCATTTTTTGAGTTAGAAGAAGATACAGAGTCTGAACTTAAGTATGTCTTTATCTCACCAGGAGTCAACCCCAACATGTAAGGAGTCAACCCTAACATGTAATAGTTGACCTTGTCGTGTTCATCAATGGTGGGCGCTAAAATTGCCTGGAATTCAAATAAGAAATGTCATTATAGTGTATTTCAAAATCGAGATAGGTGATCTTAACAATAGCTTCAATAGAATCATCTGCCATAGGAGCCATAATTTCTTCAGGGATGTCAACCATTGATCCTCCGTTATTTTTTTATTTCTATTTTCGATTTAAAAAAGCTGAATATTATTACCAAGAAATGCTATTCTAAATAGTAGTGAATAAATATGAAAAACAATTAGTAATATGCTATCACTTCAAAACAATGTACCATAATATAATTAGGATATTTTTAATTGGACTGTAGTGTTCTAGTGTGATCTAATTGATTTGTTTAAAAACATAATTAAAGAATAGAATAATTTCCGATTTGCATGTGTTTTTTTATTTTTTATTTAAAAAAATAATAGAACATTTAGCACAATTACATAGAATGTATTTTTAAATAATAAATAAAGCAAACAAACTTAGATTTTTTTTTTAATGTGAAAAATTAATTTTGAGCTACCACTTACACAATTGATGGTACTTATGTTCTACCCTATCAACGTTTCATTTTCATTTACCGCAGTGCCGCAAAAGCTCCCACCTACGGTGGGGTAAGGGGGGATCAGATGTACGCACTACGCAGTCTTACCCCTGTACTAAAGCATGGAGAGACTGTTTCCGGATGACCCATAGTAAAAATCGCGTCCAAAATTGCATGGACTGACTGCTGCTTCATAACAAAGAAGCGCAGACAGTTTAGTGAGCCATTTTGTTTTATTCCATCATATTCTCGAGCCAAAAAATAATGAATCTTTGGCTCCATTGCAAATGATGGAAAAATCCTATCAACGTTTATAGATTTAAAAGTAAAATTATATGAAAGTTAAGGTAGAATTCGTAAGTTAAAAGTATATTTCAACGAAAATTATATTCTAACAGTTAAAATTAAAATAATTTTTGATAGCTATATGAACGTACATTGCGCTATGAAATTTTCTGTCCTGATCTAATATATTTGTTTAGGTATCCCTTGGTGTGACATGAGACTAAAATCAATCCAAGCAATAACTTCCTAAATGGAAGAGTGTGATTTTGATGAGAAGTTAAAAGTATAATTAAACGAAAATTATATTTTAAAACTACAATTAAAACTAAAATAATTTTCGATAGCTATATGAATGTGTGTTGCTCTATAAAATTTTCTTCCCTAATCTATTTGTTTAGGTCTGTTCTGATCTGCATTGATCTGCCTTGATCGGATATGAGACTAAAATCAATCAAACCAATAACATCCTAAATGGAAGAATGTGGATGAGATTCTAAGAAAATACTAAATGCATCTCTAATCTAAAAAAATATTAAAATAATTGATATAGTCTTTTTAATAGCTTAATTGGAAAATATCTTATACTACGTCGCTCTGATCCACTCAGCTCTTATTCATTCACTGAACAAAAGATAATGAATTGATTACCAAACAGAGGGGTGCTTCTGTGCCTCTAACTTTCAGCTGAATTATACATGATTTGATGGATTGGGATCTTGATATCAAATTTCAATAATTAGATCTCCGGCGTTATATTATGTAGCTCTTATAAGTTACATTACTCAGCAACTTCACCACCAAATGCAATGCAAAACAAAGCAATTGCTAACCTGAATAGTTAGCATAAAATCTAGGAAAGTTTCTAGCAATGGAGATGGTTTTGAATGGCACAAAAAGTGCCCCACCTTTCAATGAGGTAAACCGTAGACGTGTATAACTACCATAAGAGTACAACCATATTCTTCATTATCAAGGTTACACCCCCCAACGAACTTCCAAGCTACAAATTATAACATAGCTATCTATATGGTGTTGAAGATCCTAATATATTTCTAACTTCACCTACCTCACAGTGCATTTCCAAATACTACCCGAGAAGGTAACATTTCATCTCCCATAACTTAAACCCTGCCAGGAAATGATTCTAAACCTAGGGAATTAGTTTTAATACTCCCTGCTTATTCAAATAATTGTTCTACTTTTCTTTTAATGAAATATCCCTTCTGGGCACAATCAAAATATTCATCAACGGGATGAACAAAATGAGATGGTAATATGAGAAGAACAAAACAGGGTGGAAATTGAACCTTCACTGGGAAACAACACTCAATCCAAAATAAAAAACTTTGTTCCAGCAGCGGCATTTATTTGCAAATTCCCCAGCTACAAAAGCAACAAAAAGCACGTTTCTATAATTATTATGTTTCATAAGAATGCAAAGACAGTAACAATAACAATAAACATTTTATATTTTCCGCTTGTGAGTCTCAGTAAACTACAAATGGTTTTAAAGAAGAGAAAATGTAATGTCAAAGTCTAGGATGTACCGTTATTTCCATCATCGGACTTTCCTGCTTTTCTGTATCTATGCCTTCAAAGCCTAAACATCGATCCATATGAGTTATATGAGTGTTTAATGGCATACCATTAGCCCGATAATGCTTCATTTCAGTAAATAAACAAATATGAAAACTCGGAAAGGAATAAATAGGAATAAAGCAACACACACACAGAAAAATGAAAAATCCAGAAACATGAAAACATTGAAAACATGCATGAGTAATTTAATATACATTCACATATTAAACCTTTAATCAAAAGAAAATTTAACATGATGAATCACCCTCATGTTTTAGTTAGCAACTTCTGGCATAATATAAGTAGGCCCATTAGAGTGAGTGATTTATAGATATGAGGTAGCAGTATTGCATATCAGAGTTACTCTTGCAATTGGAGCATCCATTTGAATTGATTCATGAGATGCTAGGTGCCAATGATGGAGGATAAAATAATAACCCAAGAGCACTGCTATCAGTAATTGAGGTAGGAATAACTTTTGGTCATTAAAAGAAGATGTAACTCAGCATAAAGAATATTACAACTACATAAATTACTGGTAAGGAAAATATCTAGCTCAAGATTACAAAATAATTCCAAATGCTCAAGGGATTTACGGCCAAAACTTCTGTCATGTTTTTTTGGAAATAATAAAGTTAATGTTGTTAAATATATTTTTACAAATAGCTAAACAGTATATCAGTCCTTCCATGGGTTCCACTTGAAGAGATTGCCCAAATTGTTGGTTCAATCGAAAGGAACTTATTATGAAAGTAACGTAATTTAACTTGCTCAGCTGCAGTTTCTAAAATAAATAAATAAATAAATCGAAGTTCACTATACCTGTCAACTAAGTGTGTTGATAATTTATTCAACAATAAGTTTAAAGATATTTGAAGTGAATGAAAAATTGCAATGGAGATCGAAAAATAATATATGCAAAATAAAGAAAAAATAAAAAACCAACATATCTGAAACGAAAAAAGAACATGACTCCATTTATTCCCTATAAAGCATCTTATCTTCTCAATTGAAATCCAAATTTGGAAGAAAAACCTTTCAGGAATGATGAGAATCGAACAATCCATAAGTGGCCATAGAAAAAGCGAAAATAAAAACAACATATCTAAATGAAAATTTTAACATTGATGAGGTAGCCTGTTTAACATGCTTTCTCAAATCCAACAGTGGGTTTGAAAGTAGTGTTTCTACATCAACTGGACAGGGCTATTAAAGGAGTGCACTGGAGAGAAATTTTTTTTCACACCTTCAAATTTGTCTGATACGAACAAATTCCGATCTGAAGTTTTATATGAAAGCGTCTGAACTCGGGGAGGTGAAAGGGGATCTGAAGAAGTATGAGAATGAGAGTTCTTCTTGGCTACGTAAATTGGGATGAAGAAGAGAAATGATGATATGAGCGACATCTGAGATGGAGGTCTTCTGCAATTAGCAAAGAAAGGAAAAAACATGAGCCGTACGATTGAAATAAAAATATCGTGCGACCAATATGGCTTAGGCGCTTGAGCGGGAAATGACCTTCGTGCAAAGTATTGCAATTATGTAGGATGATTTATACAGCTACTCCTCCAATCCTATTTGGACCTGTCTATACGAGAGTGAAAGACTTTCCATTCATGCATTCGTCTAGAAGCTTGCATTCTGGAGTGTTCCGAATTGAGCTCGTGGGCCAGTCCATACGTGTGTGCCACTTATGGGCCGTTTCAGCTAGCTGTGATTCCTGTAAAGTAATCCGGGCTAGGCATGAACCCGGTTCGGGTCACCTGGCCCAGGAACCGGCCCAGCCCGCTATTGTGCGGGACCGGCCCGGCCCGGTGCCTCGGGTCCGAAACCGGTCCTTGGCCCGGTTTGGTAGGTAAAGCGGGGTGGGCTCGAGCTGCTGAAATGGGAACCCGGTCCGGTTCGGGCCAAAAAATGTTTTTTTTTTTCAGTTTTATTGGGCTTCCCGGGTTGGGCGCGATGTTTGGGGGGGGGTGGGTGGGGGGTTTGGGGGGGGTCAGGGGGGTACTTAGGAAAGAAAGAAAAATAAATATTACAACCAAGCCCGAGGCTCGGCCCGACCCGAACCGGACCCGGTGGCAACCCGGTCCGGTCCCGGGCCTTACCCTTAACACAAAAGGCTCGACCGGGCCTAGACCCGACGCGGACCCGGTTTGGTCCATGCCTAATCCGGGCCCAACAGTATATGTGCATACGCAGGGAAAAGAACAATTGAAGCATATATTTTTATTTATGGTCTGACTAAATATGAACATAATATAACATTACAAGTTTACTTATTAATTTCAATAATCAGAATACAATTAATAACTAGTACCGTAAAGTATAAATTCATATGTACAATAAATATTACTACGTACTTATTTGTAATATGTATGAGGATGTTCAGTTCTCAGGATCAAACTAGTACCTACGTTTGGTGCATGAGGATGAGATACAGTTATTGACAAAAATGAGTTTATATGGTTGATAAAATAAGGATACAATAATAATGATTTAGAACCACACAAACATTACCATCTTTGATACGAGACAATTTTAGCGGGACTCATCAAAAAAGAAAAATGAGTCCATCGTAACGGGATGAGTGGAATAAAATTAAGAGAATATTAGGGAAAATTAGTTGATGTCATTCATTAGAATTTATTACTTATTACTCCGTAATTAGTATAGTACTGTCGATAACACATAATGAAGTAGTAAACTTACACTCCTTAAAGGTCACGTTCTACACAACTTCTATTAAGACAACATTTGTTGTAGTATGTAATGAATTCCCTTTCTTTTCATGTACTAACATATAACCATCCATGATTAAATATAGGTATACTCTAACTCGTTTAGCAATTAACCTTCAAATTTGTCATTGTCGTAGCATACAAGACAATTATAAGAAACCGTCTTCTTGTAAGTTTAAAAGTCCATGGTGATTGAGAAAGAGATATACACATGTGAGGGATGTAAATCTCATCTCCTAGGTTACGTTGCCTCCATACATATTCTTGCTCAAATGACATGATTTTGAAGTTGTGTGACAATTAATCTAGTTCCGTGACATAATTCTTTGGATTGATTTATATTTCTTAGCAACATTACTAGAGTCTCAACCTTGATCTTATTCAGAAATTCAGAGTCACGATCTTCTTAAGGAATTTGGAAACTCATGTATTCATGCTTCAAGTGCTTTCGTTTCAACTGCATTTGACTTTGAAGCTGTTCTCTTCGCCTGATCTGAATGTTTCTGATCTGAATTTTTTAAGTTCTGATCTGATCTGATCTGAATTTTTCTGATCTGATCTGATCTGATCTGATCTGATCTGATCTGATCTGATCTGATCTGAATCTTTCTGATCTGATCTGAATCTTTCTGATCTGATCTGAATGTTTCTGATCTGGTCTGATCTGATCTGAATGTTTCTGATCTGATCTGAATCCTTCTGATCTGATCTGAATCTTTCTGATCTGATCTGATTTGAATATTTCTATAATTATTATTATAATAATAATTATTATAATTATTACAATTGTAATTAAAAATATAATTTAAATAAAATTATAATTATAATCCTAACTATAATAATAATAATAATAATTAAAATTAAATTTAAAATGAAAAAATTTATACCTATTACACTAATTATAAATATAGATACAATTATAAATATAATTATATTTTTAATTATAATTAATTATGTAATTATAATTGTAATTATAATTACAATATTTATCTCTATAATTGTAACTATAGTTATCAATCGACCAAAAAAAAAAAACTATAGTTATCAATATTATTATAATTAATCCGTAAAATAATTACAATAGTAATAATAATATTATTAATAATAATTATAATAAAAATAATAATTATAATCATAAATTATAATTATAATATAATTATAAGTATAATTATATTAACAGTAATTATAATATCATAATATAATAATAGTAATACAAATACAATTAATATTATTATAAAGATATTATTATATTAATATTATTATTACAATAATATAATAATAATATAATTATTGTTATTATAATAAGTATTATATTATTATAATATTATATTATAATTATATTTATAATCATAATTGTAATTATGATTGTATATATAGTTATAATTATTATTATAATTATAATTAATTATAATTATAATTAATTATACTTATAATTATAGTAATTATAATTGATTATACTTATAATTATAAGAATTATAATATAATATTATAATAATATTAATCATATTATTATAATTATTTTATTGTAATAATATAATAATAATAATAATAGTAATAATAATAATAATAATAATAATAATAATAATAATAATAATAATAATAATAATAATAATAATAATAATAATAATAATAATAATAATAATAATAATAATAATAATAATAATAATAATAATAATAATAATAATAATAATAATAATAATAATAATAATAATAATAATAATAATAATAATAATAATAATAATAATAATAATAATAATAATAATAATAATAATAATAATAATAATAATAATAATAATAATAATAATAATAATAATAATAATAATAATAATAATAATAATAATAATAATAATAATAATAATAATAATAATAATAATAATAATAATAATAATAATAATAATAATAATAATAATAATAATAATAATAATAATAATAATAATAATAATAATAATAATAATAATAATAATAATAATAAAAGTGAAAACTTTTCTGATCTGATCTGATCTGAATGTTTCTGATCTGATCTGAATGTTTCTGATCTGGTCTGATCTGATCTGAATCTTTCTGATCTGATCTGAATCTTTCTGATCTGATCTGAATCTTTCTGATCTGGTCTGATCTGAATCTTTCTGATCTGATCTGATCTGATCTGAATTTTTCTGATCTGATCTGATCTGATCTGAATAAAATAAGAATAAGCAATAAGTAATAAGAATAAGACGAACAGAACAGCACCTTTGTGTATAGAACCACAACTTAGATATTCTTTTTTTAAAGAAGAGAGCTTATTTTAAAATCATAGAAACAAACAATTCAACAACATCAAGAGACCAAACCCACTCTAGACTACTTGTAGCCATCAGGGGCCCTCACCCCCTATCAGACATGCATATAATAGACCACCCAAAATTGAGCAAGACTAATCACTAAATATGCGAGAGCTTCGAAGCCATTTTCGGCCAACATAACCTGATTGCTTCTACACAAACTAGAAACTAAAACTACGAAACAGAAGTTATAGCGTTTGACCTCAGACACTGCAAAAGAAAGAAAAACAAGGTACGAGACTAAAAATTTAAAATTACTACGGATAAAACTAGATAATAATGTAAAGTAAACTTGACGCGTCTTCGTCCAAACCCTAGATTCTCTATCAATCCATGGTGTTGGTTTAGGAGGGGGGCGAATCAATAGCACTTCTCCTTCCTCTTCCAAGACCAACTGATTGCAGATGTGATATAGATCATCAAATATCACTTAATCTTCTTCCTCCATCTCCTCCTTCCGTAAACTTGGGCCAAAACCACTATTTCCTCGTGTTTATTACCTTTCATCTCTACGTCCTTGGTTATTGTTGCTCTTGATTGGAAGAAAACTCGGGTGAAGCCTTGTGTTGCTGCTTTGTTCGCCGAAGGATTGCGCACAACACCCTGCGGACGAGAAAGATCGTTGGACGTGTTGCGTTGCTGCTTTGCTCGACGAAGCTGCGTTCCAAAACTCTGCGGGCTAAGAAAAACGCCGCCCAAAACCCTACGCAGATGCCTACCGTCCGCTAATTGAGAGAAAAGCTCTCCTTAGGTATCATCAGATCATTTAATTTATTAAGAAAATCGTCTTGGATTTTAATTACTATATTATCGACCGAATCGAAAATGCATGACCGAAAAACACCAACCCAAACTTGTTAAAAACGACCAAATTCGATTCAAAATGACCGAAATTAACCGAACCAAAATCGTTTGCTACCCCCCCCCGCCCCCCGAGTTGTGTAGTTCGGTTATCAGTTTCAATACGATAAAATCAAAATCGATGAACCGATGAACATCTAGACATTGTCCTTGAAACTATGGAGAAAAATTATCGAAAAGAAGTAAAAGGGTTTACATAAGGAGAGATGTCCAATATAATACGTATATGATTATTATTTGTTTATCTCTTTAGTTTTTCTACCACATACTTCATCCGTCAATTAAAACTTTGCCAACTTTACTTTTTTGGATGTCCCACTAATTTTGTCACTTTCCTTTTTAAGTAAATAATTTATGGTTTCAGTTAATTCTTTTTCCTCTGCACAAACCTCAACCACATAGTTTTTACTTTATTAATCCTCGTGCCGGTCAAACTTGGCAAAGTTTTAAGGGATGGGGTAGTATCACTTATACACATTTTGAAAGGGATAATTTGGTAAATGACACTTAAGATATAATCTTTTGCCACTTTTTGAAAAACAAAAAATAATACTACCTTTGTTCTTAAATAAGTGCAACATTGCAAATTTTACACTATTCACATGTTCTACTTTGACTACATTTTATTTATTGATGCATTAATAAATTTTTTTGAATAAATTTTGCCACTAAATTTGTCTCATTGTAAATTTTCAAAATATGATTTTTTAATTTTTTTAACTAATAGAGAGTTATATATATTAATGGTCAAAGTTGTGCCTCGGCAAATGTGAAATGTTGACTGTTGCACTTATTTAAGAACGAGTAATAATTACACATATACAATTAAAATAAAAAATATTTACAAGAATACTACACCTTAAGTGTATTGATAGATAATAATAATAATAATAATTTAGTATAATAGTTTATGTTCAATTTTGCACTTAAATATTTATGAAATTATACTATAACAATTATTTATAAATATTACTCCGTATTAGTCATGTACCGCAAATTATACCGTGGGATCGGCCCACCATGAGCAGGGTGTGCCGATCCCAAAACGACGGCGTTTTATACTCCGTATTAATTAAAACAGAGCTGACAAAAAATCACCGTCTTCTCCAACCGTCCAGCGTATGCTTCATCCCTGCGGCCAAAAATTTCCTTTGGTGGTACGAAGCTTCCTTGCTGGACATCCCTACTGAATCGAATTTCTTATACTCAGTGCATATGTATTACAGAAACGGATGTTAGCAGACAAAGAAGATACACAGAGCTTAAAATCTCAGATCCATTCATATATACCTCCATCTTCCTTATTTAAATGCATTTTGTTTGGGATTCACACTCTATTCAGACGTTTCTCTTCCCATATACATACTATTGGATTCTCATACAATTGTTCTTCTCACAATTACATTTGATAATACGAAGTACATGAAATTATATCTTTTTGTGTGTGAGTTACATTTTTATGTGTATGAGTTACATCTTTTTTACAAGCGAGTTACATCTTTTGAAGCGCGAGTTACATAGGGACTTGCCCCAACAAGTTACATTCTGTATACAACTAAGTTACATTTGCCATCAACGTGAGTTACATTTATAATAACGTGAGTTATATCAAAAAATCAACCTCTGGTATTAAAGCAAAAAATAGGATGATTTTTTTTAAATTCTTTTGATGGTCATGATATTAAAAACAAAACATATTCACGATTTACGTAAAGTAATTGTGCAATTAGACTTTTTTTTTAATTATTTACATTGAAATCAATATTTTATTTCTTATAATATGTATTTGACAAGTTACATTTCGAATGGACTTGAGTTACATTAATCAATAACGTGAGTTACATATCTTTACACGCGAGTTACATTATTCATGCTACTGGGTCAAAAAGAAAAAAAAGTTACTGTTCACGCGTTACTGTTCACGCGAATTTTTTTTAAAAATATTGTGCAAAACTACGTAATTTCAGAAGTGGAGCACGATACTCACCGTGGGATGATCCCACGGTATAGGAACTCGTCATGTACTCGTATTTGTTAGTGAGTTTGATTTCAGTAACATTTAAAAAAGGGAAAAGGTGCAAATAGGCCCATGTACTAACCAAAAAAGGTCAAATAAGCCCTTATTTATGAGGCTCTGTCCGGACGTCGTCATTTGGGGTGGTTCCCGATGGAATTTTTTGATGAAATTTTTTGAGCATCTTATTCATTAAGTCTAGTTTACTCATACCAAATTTCAGCTAAAACATCAATCGGGAAGGCATTCAAATGAATTCTTGAAAATAACTGCGCAGTTAGAAGCGCAATTATCTTCAAGAATTCATTTGAATGCCTTCCCGGTTGAAGTTTTATCTGAAATTTGGTATGAGTAAACTAGACTTGATGAATAAGATGCTAAAAAAAATTCATCAAAAAATTCCACCGGGAATCACCCCAAATGACGATGATCAGACAGATCCTCCTAAAGAAAGGCTTATTTGACCCTTTTTGGTTAGTACATGGGCCTATTTGCACCTTTTCCCTTTAAAAAAAAGTCAAACAAAAAATCTCTGTTTTTTGTGAAGTCCAATAGTAACGGAGACTATCACACCCATGCAAGACATATACGGAGTATATCCTTTCGTGTTGTTTTTCAATCTCTGCAGACCATTTCAATAGAAGCCATGCATCCTTTTCCCATCGTCTTTTTTATCTTCTTCACATATTTCTTACCAATCTCTCTCGCTGAGATCCGATTCTTGCAGGTTCGCTCCGACAACCGGCCCGTAATCCTATTCGACGAATTCGGGTTCACCCACCGCGGTCGCCTCGAACTGAACGTTTCCAGAATTGCACTTGATGGCCCCGACAACTTGGAGCTCACCCGAGTCGGGTTCTTCCTTAGTACACCCGAATCATGGCTGCAGCTTCTTCAGCAGATTGATGATGGAGAGATTAATTGCGTTCTCCAGTCTGATTACGCCAAGGTCGTCTACCTGTTCGATCATTTGCTCGGCAATTCTTCCTTCAATACGCTTTATACCGAGTCTGGTTCCGGTCAGTACAGTCTCATTTTCGCTAATTGTCTGCCTCAGCTCACGATTTCTATGGACGTTCGGTCGGCGATGTACAATCTCGATGGAAATTCGGGGGAGACCCGGGACTATCTCTCCGCGGGGATGACGGTTTTACCTAGGGTTTATTTTATCCTCTCTCTCGTTTATTTTGGCTTGGCTGGTGTCTGGATTTTTGTACTATACAAGAAGTATTTGACAGCTTTTCGCATTCATTACTTCATGCTTGCGGTGGTGATTTTGAAAGCCCTGAATTTGCTTTGTGAAGCTGAGGATAAGTCATATATTAAACAAACTGGAAATGCTCATGGATGGGATGTGTTGTTTTACATATTCAGCTTCCTGAAGGGAGTCATGCTGTTCACTGTGATAGTGTTGATTGGGACTGGTTGGTCATTCTTGAAGCCATACTTGCACGACGGGGAGAAGAAGGTATTGATGATTCTAATACCACTACAAGTGCTGGCTAACATTGCACAGGTTTTGATTGATGAAGCCACTCCATATGGAATTGACTGGATAACTTGGAAGGAAGTGTTCATTCTTGTCGATGTTATATGCTGTTGTGCAGTTCTCTTCCCTATTGTTTGGTCAATTAAGAATCTCCGTGAGGCTGCCAGGACCGATGGGAAAGCTGCTGTGAATTTGATGAAATTGACTCTCTTTAGACATTACTACATTGTGGTTATATCGTACATCTACTTCACTCGTGTTGTGGTTTATGCTTTGGAAACAATCACCTCATATAGGTATGTATGGACTAGTGTGGTGGCAGGGGAATTGGCAACACTTGCTTTCTATGTGTTTACTGGGTACAAGTTCAAACCTGAGGCACATAATCCGTACTTTGTAATTGATGATGATGATCAGGATGATGCATTGAAGCTTGAAGATTAGTTTGAATTGTGAATCTAATCAACCTCCAGTCAGGTTTTTGTCCAATTAAACGAATGTTGTCACAGTGCTTCTGTGTTTGGTTCTAGTCTGTGATGAAACATTTTCATACCATTCGGTTCACAGTATTTTGGAACCAAGAAAATGCTAGGAAAAGAAAACTGGGAGGAAATCTAGATTAAAAAACATGCAAAGGAAAATTGAAGGAATTTTTTTGTTAAATACAAACTTAGCTAATCTGTTTTAGACTTTTAGATATTCATTTGAAATCATTTTATTTATTTATGTATTTATTTATATATTTATATTATAACTAATAACTCTGAGAGTTAACTTTTTATCAAACAGACTCTTATTTCATTTTCCTTTGTATTTTGCAATGAAATATCAATATAAGAAAATAATGTTCCTAGCAATTTCTCTCCTTTATCTAGTTTTTTTCTGTGATCCAAACACACTCTAAACTCTAAAGGTCTAAGTTTTTCTCAAGAATGTGGAAAACCTTTCATTCTTTTGAGATTTGTGCCATTGGCTAAATGCCATTTGCATAACTTTATGAACTATAGTCTTCTTTTTTATTAACTCGCCATAAGCATATAACTTTGATGATGATGAGATAATAGTTGTGTAGTTGGCCAATTTTGCCTTCTATCTCACTCTGCTGAATAAGATCTGTTGGGATATGAGAAACTTCAAGTCTTGCTATTATGTATTGATTGATGTTTGTTACGTAAAGATTAATATAAATAGCTTGTAAGGTGTTCTATCATTGCACCTATTTTGGACTAGCTGGAGAGACCATGTGAAGCATTTCTGAATAGATAAAGAATTTCTGCTTTCGTGGATCCCAATTTTAAGTGGCCGACATAGAGATTTACTTCCTTGGTTCTTTTTTAGTTGCAACATTCCCCTTTTCACGTTTGTCAACGCACAACTTTGACCATTATTATATTTGATTCTATATTTGTAAAAAATAATGAAAAATCAGATTATGAACTTAGTCATGAGACAAATTTAACAAAATTTTCCAAAAAAAATAATTCACACACAATAATAAATAAAATGTAGTCAAAGTAGAGGACATGAATAGTGTATAAAGTCCTATGTTGCAACTAATGCGATACGGAGGATAGTATTCAACAAGGCATGCTAATAGTGGTGGATATGGGCCGGTTCCAATCCGGATCTAGACCTGTCGGTTCTTGTCTCCAAAAGGGAAGAACAGTAACTGGAATGGGGTTACTGAAGCCAGTTTTAGGTCTTGTTTACTTCCCGATTTATGGGTCTTGGTCTTGATCGAGTTTTGGGTAGTTTCATGCTAGAAAAGTTGAACTTAAAATAATAGATCGGGACCGGAATGGGCCGATTCTGGCCCATGTCAATACTACCAAAGTAGATAGCTCTTATACCGATTCCATTTTGGGAATTTATCACAAATAGACTACAAAGTATAAATAATATCACTTTTATCACCCTAAAAAAATCTTTTCAAAAATAGTCTTCTCAACCTTTTATTTTCACAAATAGACTGTAGCACTGGAGCAAACACTCGCTCTTACGGAAACCTCCCGTCATTGTAGCTTAGCTCAAATTAGCAACTAACAGTAACGGACATCAAGTCACGTTAGTTAAACTAGTTGATACGGAGTGAAGAAATATAAAGAAGACCTGTATACTTTTATTTTATTTTATTGCAAACTACAAAACAAAACAGAAATGCTAAAATTATTAAAAAGTAGAATGATGAAAATAATTAGAGAAGTAATAAAAGTCTAAAAGATAAAAGTAAAAATTTAAATTAATAAATTAAAAATATAGAAAATCTCATACTTGGAAATATGTAATTAAATTTACAAAATATAGAAAAAGTATAGAGTTTAAAACTGAATCATAAAAAAATAAAAACAAAAACTTATATCAATTTTACAAAATAAAAATTGGAAAAGGTTGTAAAAGGAATATAATTCATGTCAAAGAAAATTAATAGTAAAATTTTAAAAATAGCCTAAAAATTTATAATAAGTACGTACAATTTTAAAAATAAAAAATAGAAATTTATAATAGACAATGAATATAAAAATGTAAATAAATTATTAGAAAAATCCACAAAAAAAAGTGCAAAATAATTCATAAAAAATATATTCTTGAAATTACCAATGTGAAACATTAATATTCATGAAATGTAGGAAATATGTAGACGCAAAAAAAATTGTAAAAAAATAAAGAGTCCGGATTTTGGGATTTCAAATAATCTGAAAATTTGCAAATAAATATATAAATGTGAAAATATTCTAAAAGTTCAAATTCAAATTTTATAAAATTAAAGAAAACAGAAAAAAATGTATATATTACAAAAAAAATCAAAAAATTAAAGTAGATTAAAAATTGAGTTACTATTTTTATACAAGAATTTTATATCTTTTTAAAAATAGTTATAATTTATAAATTTGAGTTACTATTCTTTCAAATAAAATTGAGTTACTATTACCATAAACATTTATTTTTGCTTTGGTTGCATATTGTTTCTATGTGTTTCTTTTTGTTGATAAATTGTAAAATTTTGTTTTATATAATTTTTTCATGTTTCATGCTATTGTTTAGTGTTTGTAAATAAAAAATTATCAATGTAGGTGTTTTCATATGTATGTATACATGATTTTTTTTCAAAGATGCATCAAAGATAAACAGAAACCTAAATAAACAACAAAAAACAAACTCAACAATAAACAACATGCAACACGATGCAACAATTAGCAACAAGATGCAACAAAAAGCAACAAGTATGATGCAACAAAAAGAAACAAAAATAATATATATCAGTATCACAACAAAATACATTATTTGATCTATTATTTTAATTTATTACATTTATCTATCATATTATTTAGCTTTAGTCTTATAACATCTTCTCCTCTTTGACTCTTTGTTTTCATTTTCTTGGATGATCCTCTTAGTCTTATTATCATCCTCTTCATCATGTATTTCGTTTTGTTTTATGAGCCTGCAATGAGAACACAATCCACCATCACAAAATTTTAGCACTGCCACTAAGCAATACGTACACAAGCCTCATTTTCCAAATTCCAGCAATCTTAGCAAGCAAAAGTTGAAGGGTTGATGTCATAGCGACTCCTTAGCGAGTCTTCCTAAGCGAGTCTATGGCTTTCTACACTGACTGCAAAAACTCGGGATTGATGTTTTGCAGACTGAAATTTCACCAGCAAAACGAAAACAATGCTCATGCACTAATCTACTTTCCAGTGTATTAGTATTAAATTTGCAAAATTATATTAAGCATATATAATTATGTATGAAGACTTAAAGCCCAGACAAAGCCATAAAGAACTTTCAGTGAGATGAGTAAGCCTGCACTTCTGCCATGAAGTCACCTTATGATTCCTAAAAAGTAACGTACATAAAGCAAATGAAAATGGCATAGCATGAGAGAATACAATGATAATGGTCTAATAAAGTTATATGTGATACAAAGTTACAAACAACAGATGGTGAAGAGTGGGAGACTGACTTGCTGCACTTGCATTCCCTCTTGACCTTCTATAATTTGTTTCTCTCGGACATTTTTTATGCTCCCTCTCTGCTTCGCCTACTTTTTGTTGACAAGCTTGTGTTCGAGGTTGTTTAAATATTCCACAAAATGGTTAACCTCACACACTTGCCACTGCCGCACTCCTTCTGGTGCGTGTCAAAGAAGACAATGCCAGTGGATTTCAGCCCCTAAGATTACCAAAAAATTGCCTCTGGCTCCCATGCATTCCAACGCACATATATGCCAATAAATACATTAATAATAATAATGCAGAACAATTTTGGAGAAAAAAGTGAAAGAAATCATGAATAAAAACAACTCCCCCAGATTCTCCAAATTGAGGGAATAAAATCTGAGATTTGGATGCTTTTATAGCTCACCGACTTACTTTCTACCTAACTTTCCCATTAACTCCCTAAACAAACACACATCTCCACTTTAATTCATTCCCCTCTAAAATACTCCAGCCAAACAAAAGTTAAAATCCTATACAGAGAGTACAACAAGGAACCTGAAGCACGACATGAGATAAGTCATCTCCATTAGAACAAATTGGAATTTAGCCATTCATCCATTCAGATTCAACCTCGTCTGCAATTTCGACAAGTTTACTTGGTTAAGGGATAGAAATAGAAAGAAAACATAATGGAAACAACAAACGGAAGTCCCGATTAAGCTCATACCAGCTGAAATTCGCCTATTTCTTCTCTAATTTACTTCTGAATGATCGTTGCGATGAGGGATTGATCGTTCCTCAAAAGTGTATCGCGACCCGTGAACTCCAATTGCAACCCGTCGAAGCTGAGGTGTGACCCCCTTTCTCGGTAGGCTACATCGTCCGACCCACCGAGAACACTATGGAAGATAACAGTGGATGAGAACTCTCATAGACCTAGATACGAAGCTCATGGAAGGTCGGGATTTCTGTCGTATGTACTAAGATAGAGAAGGGAGACGGAAGAGTTTGGCACAAACTATCTAAAACTGAAATAAAAAACTAAAATTGAAAAGAGAAAAGTTTATAAATGAAAAGAGAAAATCGTTGAGACATAAATGATATGTAGCCCATAAAAGTAGACCATATGGGTAATTACCACTTCCATTTTTGCGCCAGAATTCCATTTCGTCTTGAGGCCAACCTCAAACGAACTGAACGGCCCAGGTTAAGTTTTGGTGTGGAATCATGTTTTGGCATGGTTTTATTTGTTAAGTTCTGCTCTCATTCATGAACTAGTATGTAGTACTACGTAGTACTTCGTATAATACTTCACCCTAGGTACATCTGGGTCTAGCGAGGGTTTAAGAAAAGTAATTAAATAATATGCATCCACAAAAAGTAAAAAAATTAAATTATTAATATAAGTATGATCTGGATAAGTGAAAAATTGGTACAATTCATTTTAGGTAGATTCTATGGTACCCTTAAGGTATCATACCTTTGTCCACATGGACCAATCAAAATGTTGCAATTGAATTATTTAAATCTAAATTAAAAATGATATAATGATTTGGACCAATCAAATGGATGGTAGGTACGGTACACCATTTTTTAAATAGGTACCGGAGTTGTCACCTTTATTTTATGAAAATGTTCCTTTTTCTATAATCTGAAAAGGAAAGTGTATTTTATAAGACGTGGCATGATTGGTATTATTATCCAATATCGTGAAGTAATCACTCATTTTACACCTAATCGCTAACACTATTCTGGCAAAGCAGCGCGCAGGCTTTTTCCAGCACCCTACATCCACCGCTCCGATGTTTGATCTTAGCTTGCTTACTACTCAAGTACTCCGTATTAATAATTGGTAAATACTACAGAGTAGATATTATTAATCTGATGTTATGATCTTAGCTTGCTTACTACTCCGTATTAATAAGTGGTAAATACTACAGAGTAGATATTATTAAAATGTATTAGGTCACATGCATTCTAAACTCATTAGAATACACTCCTAGGAGTTTACAATGCATGGCCTAATATATTTCAATAGTAGAAACAAATTTGTCAATTTTTATTAATGTGTGATCAAAGCTCAATTTACATTCTTCAAGATTACTTTCCAATTGTTTTGGAAGGCTTTAGAATGGGATATCATCATCTTCTTTTAGGGCACGTTTGGTTGGAGGTAATCTTGTATGCAGGCCGGAATCTGATGTCTGGAATCTGATATACCCATGTTTGGTTCGCAGGTTCAAAAAAAATTGGGAATGTAACATTCCGAAAAGTGAGGAATGTCATCTCATGCCCAGGAATGTTAAACCCATGAAGCTCTTAGGTTATCTTGGATGCTGGGTTGATTATAAGACCTCTTTCAAAAATACCTACTCATTTAATCAAGAACAATACCCACTCATTTAATCAAGAAAACCTCTTTTAACATGTGTTTTGCTACAGATGATAATGTAATGGAATATTCACCTTTATTTTTAATGTGTTTCGTTATGCATTTACTTAAACAATATAATAAGAAATAATTACATATATATGACTAGAATAAAGATTTGTTTACAAAAATGTGACTAGTGACTAGAGTAATAATAGAATTAGAGTAACTTACGTTCTATTTCAAAACATAAGTTACCATAAAACTACATTGTAGTAACTATTAATCATATTTATTTTAATAAAATTTCACTTAGTAATATTTTTGAAATATGCCCCAACAATAATGCTTACTAATGTTCACTAAACTTTGTCATTTAATTAAGCAAATAAACATATTTTTTTAAAAAAAAATAGTCAATTAGTTTTTATTTTATTTTATTTTATTTATTATTGAGATATTTCATTTTTTTTCTCTAATTTAAATTACTTCGAATGTAGGTTTTAATAAATTTATTGTTTGAGAGAAAATATTTGAAGGGCTTTGAAGTAATTCATCAAGTCTGCAATATATGATATCAATCAACCAAACAAATTAATATCGTATTCCCTGAATCTTAACCAAACACAAATAAGATACAAATGCATACATTCTCATCAATCTAACATACCCAGTAATCTGACATTCCCATGATAATCTGACATTCCTTGAACCAAACATACCCTTACAGAGTTTAAATATTCCTTGAACCAAACATACCCTTAGAAATGTAAGGGTATGTTTGGTTCAAGGAATGTCAGAGTTTAAATGTCCCTTAGAAATGTAGCGTGGAGAGACAACGTGATGTAGAGAATAAACTGTCAGGACCCTACTCCAGTTAGATAGCACAAAAGCAAAAAGTGCAAAAATTTAAAGAAGCAATGGCTGCAAAAGAAAAGGTACACAAACTAGAGTGCTCTGTTTCAAAAATGACTATTCCTTGCCAAGAAAAAGAGGGCATCTCCAGTGATTCCATACCCATCAGCAGTTCCACTTTCCCAATCACATGGAAGCTGTATGAAAACCCATGCTACCATATCAGGCAGAGAAAAAAGCTTCAGGATGACAACATCTATAATCAAAGTCAGGTTAGCCAGCAGATCTACCTGCCGCCCATTTCCACTCGTAAGATCGCTGCTTCTTTCTGGAAATCAACCTTCTTCAGACCTTCCATGGAGTCAATGCTAGAAACAGCTCAAACCCAGATCATGGAACTGAAGGCTGAGTTGGAAAATGAGCAAAAGAGACGAAAGAAGCTTGAATCTTTGAACAAGAAGTTGGTAAAACATGTGTTTGAAGAAAGGAAAGGAAGGGAAGCAATGCTGAAACTATCCAAACCATTTTCCAAATAAGTGTTCTCCCACAAAACGCAGATAAACAGGTTTTGAGGGAGGATGGTGTTTAGAAAATATATGAGATACACACAGGAACTTTCATACTCAATCAGAAATTTCCATTCCAGAATCAAAGATTCTAGAACTTATTATAGATACTTTTAATTTCTTGATTGCAAATGAATGATCCATCTTGGTTAGTGTTTACATCTAGAAGATGCATGTTCGGTATATATTTGTGATTGATTTTAACATAGTGATAAATGTGGTTTGATTTATGGAAACTTTTTATTTCTCAAGGACATTTTTTATTTATGTTGCTACAAGTGTTGCATCTCAAATGATACTTATGTGAGCATTCCAGAATTTGGGGTGGCGTATCAACATTTCTGGAATAGTAAGGATAGGAATCCCAGTTCTCACATGGAGTTATTATTATTGATCATTTGATCTTTAAACCATCGAAGACATTAATGGTGAAACTACTTCTTTTTGTGTATCCAAGCATCACAATGTGCAACAATAGTCCAATTTAGAAATTACAAACGCGCGAATGAGCACAACTACTTCCTCGTGAGTAGGGATGACAATTGTACTTGACCCTGTGAATAATTGATTAATTGCACTGATTTGCTTTATTAATCATAACTTCATAAGGAGAAAATGTGCATTAATCAAGTAACAGATAAAGGGCTGATATTAATTGCTATCCACTTCTTCCCTCGCTTACGATCATATTTTTTCCCACGTCTTTTCGTCAAAATAAGTTTTTTCCATTTACTTTGTAAATACAAATTTCATTAAAAGTATGTTTGAAAAAGTGAGTCATAACAATACTAAGATATAAAAAAAAAGATTTTTTTCTCTCTCTAGGGTTGCCGCTCAACTGCTAGAGTAGTTCTCCGCGTATCCGTTTTTGTCGAGGACGAAGAACGGCCGTCCTAGACAGAAGAACGAGGTTCGCACGACGAGTTCTGCAGACGGGGACTACTAGCAGAAGTCGAAGGCGAGGGTTCACACCAGGTTTGAGTTTTGTATTCAGCCAGAAGTGTAAGGGTATTGCGATTGTGGTGGAGACGATTAATGGACGAGTTTGTGAATCAATACAAGAAGATGGCTATCAGGGAGGAGGACGGTGAGCTGAATTTGGATGACGAGGGAGTCGGAGAACTTGATACAACCGAGAAGATGAGTGAATTTCCGGTGGTGGGAGTCGTTCTTACGGATCGAAAAATCAAGTTTCAGGCTTTCAAGGATCTTTTGGCCTCGACTTGGCGTCCGGGTAAAGAGGTGTCAATTAAAGAAATAGATGACAAAAGGTATATGTTTACTTTTAATCAGATTGTGAATATGAACCGTGTTCTTAAAGATGGTCCTTGGTTGTTTGAGAGGAATTTATTGCTTCTTAAGGAAGTTAGGCCAGATGATATTCCCCATAAAATGAAGTTGTGTGAAGCTGAGTTATGAGTACAAGTGCATAATGTCCCTTATAGTTTTATGAATAATTGCTAGAAGGGTGGGAAACTATATTGTTGAGTTTATTAGTTTTGACGAGAGCCACTTTGATGACAAGTGTGAGTATGGATGTGGGGAAACCTCTGAAGAAGGGTTGTATTGGACATTGGGTGGATTTTAATTATGAAAAACTCCCAAATTTTTGTTTCATTTGTGGGGTGATTGGGCATGCTGATAAATTCTGTCCCTTGAAATATGAGGAGGATATAGTTTTGGAAAAATCTTTTGGGATAGAACTTAGAGCGGGAGGTGGGGTGAAGACTAGACCAACAGGGGGCAATAGGTAGCTAGTGGAAAAATCTTCAGGTTCAAGGGTAGTCAGACAACAGAGGAGAACATGTATGGAGGGTGAAGGTACTGGGGAACCAGAGGGCGAGAGTCTACAGCTAGAACAAATAATATTGTCACCAAAGAAGGAGGCATAGGCATTGCTGAGTAGGTGCCAGTGGACCAGAAGCGCAAAAGGATCTCGGAAGAGCAACCACAAGAGGATCTAGTAGGCGAGATTATGTCTCTGGATAAAGCAAAAAACGGGGAGGCAGCGGGTCCTGACTTCTAGACCCGCCGATCATGCGAGTGGTGCTCCTGCTGAAGACGACAAATTTTGGTTTTTTTTATTGCTCTTTCGCATTTCAATTTCCTCGGTGAGATTGTTGTTTTATGTTTTTCTTTTATTTGGTGTTGTAAGACTTTTGCATTAGGATTGGGTGATGAGAGTTTTGCAGTAACAGTCTTTGACTCAGTTATGCCTAATTTAGGATCAACGAGCTATATTGCTTTGTCAAAGGTGATGAACTCTGAGCCAAGTTCAAGGGCAGATGATTACATGTGGTGCTTTTGTTATTTTAATTTAACCTCTATATGAATGTTGTTTCAATCTAAACCCCTTCTTAAAAAAACACTAAGATGTTCTGTTCTATTCATAGGGGGTAACTTAATAAAAGCTTGTTTTGCTATCCAACTATTACTAAAAGGAAGTTATATAAGTTTAAGTATATGGTTATACCCATTATGCGATAATGTTGTTATGATTTGAATAAGAATTACCTATTAAATAGGGCAATTAACTTTTTCTCTTTCTTGAAACTACTTTTTTTTTTGTTAATTTTGAAGTCTATTTTCTAATATTGTTTGAAGCTAGAGGATATAAGGTGTTGAAAGTCTAAAACTGAAATGCTAGCCGAGGTGAAGTAGTCTTGTTTGACCATATAACTGAAATAAAGATAAAAAATTAAAATTACCATAAAATAAATATTTTAATATAAACAAGATAAAATTTAAATAATAAAAGAATAAAATTAACATAAGTTTGGGATAAGTTAAAAGACTGAACTGAAACACCACAATTAGTAACGTTTTGAATCAGGTGATTAAAAAAATGAATCAGTTGATTAATGTTAGATGAATTGATTAATCAGCGGATTAATTTTTGACTCACCATTTCATCCCAACAAAACTACATACGGAGTATAATTTAATTATTTAAATCTATCAAATTTCATCTCATTTTGAATTTTGAATTGAAATAATCACCCAAACATGAAACACCACTCTAAAAAGATCATAATGCTATGACCCGTGAAGCATGTGCACACATTCTCTTGCCCGAAATTAGATGTATGTAGCACACTACTTTTCTGAGAGTTTACCATATTTGTAAAAACAGTAACGTACGCAGGAGTAAGAACTAAGGGCATGTTTACTAAGAGGGATATTTTCCAATTTTTCAGAAAACTGGAAAATTGGAAAACAGAAAACAGGAAACGTGTTTACCAACAGGGACGGATCCAGGATTCTAAGTCAAGGGGGGCGAAATTTTTCGTTAGTATAGGGGTGAATTTTTTTTGTTAGTGTAGCGGGGTGAAAATTTCCCCCCTAGTGTAGCGGGGAGAAATTTTTTCGCTACTGTAGGGCTATGCGGCTATTTTTATTCAAAAAATGACATTAATACATGCACATTCCGAAAGTCTTTTAAATCTATTACATTCTAAATTTAGACGATGACAAAGACATCAACCAATACATTTTTAATAACTTCTACATTGTTTAACCTCATGAATCGGTTATTGAATTGTAATTTTTGTCCATCAAGAAGGGTGTTCGTGAGTCATGACTCATGAGAAGTTTTCTTAAAATTACAATAGTAGTATACTAGTATGTATGAGATTGTTATTTTTAGAATAATATGCACCACATACACACACATATATGGTGCATATTATATTTTAATATTTTTATTAATTCTATAATAATTTAAAGTTTATTATCCATGCAATAAATTATTTTTAGAATGCAAGAAGTAAATGAATTATGTAATCTAATGTCTATAAATATTTATATTTTGGATTCATTTCACGTGATCTAAAAATTGTGTAATTAATGTGTCTGGTATTTAATATAGTTTGATATATGTTTTACAAAATCCAGTACTTGTTATCTAATAAAGATAATTAAACATTACAAAACTTGGAATTCTTATATAATAAGTATCCTAAATCTTAAATTACGAGTTACTCTATTGTTTATTTGTTTAAGTTATGTCAATTATTTTAGATGTTTCATCTTTTAAATCTCTAATTAAGTATTACATTATGTAAGACTATATACTAATTTTGAAAATTAAAAGCTAAGGGGGGCGAATCTAATTAAATTATGAAATTTTTATGAAATATTACATATATGGTAAAAAAATTTGAATGTCCAAGGGGGGCGGTCGCCCCCCCCGCGCCCCCCCCCTAAATCCATCCCTGTTTACCAAAGAAATTCATGGAAAACTGGAGAAAGGAAAAAAGAAAAACGCATTTACCAAATCGTTTTCCAAAACGGAAAAAATGAGACATGTCTCTCTTTTCTTTAATGATTTGGAGAAGTGACTTTTACTAGTTTTCCAAATTTGGAAAACTAGTAATGAATTTGCATACTTACACCTAATGGCGGGTCCAGTCCTGCTCCGATGTCGATTCCATTCCGGTACCTCCATCCTCGTACCTTACCCCTTACATCTACCCTAACCCTACCCTACCTTACCCACTCAACCCCACACCGCATACCCATTTTTCCCTATAATGACCCTACCCCACTCCGGCCCCACCCCGATCCACCCTACCCTACCGCCACCCCCCTACCACCTCGACCCCACCCCGACCCACCCTACCCTACCCCCACCCGGTATATTACCCCTTACCACATGCCCCTACCTCGGCCCCACCCCACCGCCATCCTACCCCCACCCTCTTACCGCCATCCTACCCCCACCCTCTTACCGCCATCCTACCCCCACCCTTCCGCCATCCTACCACCATCCTACCCCCCACCCTACCGCCACCCCCCTACGACCTCGACCCCACCCTGACCCACCCTACCCTACCCCCACCCGTATATTACCCCTTACCACATGCCCCTACCTCGGCCCCACCCCACCGCCATCCTACCCCCACCCTTCCGCCATCCGACCACCATCCTACCCCCCACCCTACCCTACCTCGGCCCCACCGAGATCCCAGGCCCACCCTATCGCCATCCTATCCCACTACCCCTACCTTACCCCAACACTACCCACTACCCCCACCCTTACCGCCATCCTATCCCCCCACCCCCTACCCCTTCCCTACCTCAACCCCACCCTACCGCCATCCTATCCCAACTCCATACCCTACCTCTACCTTACCCCAAACCCTACCCACTACCCCACCCTTACCCCCGAACCACGACCCTAACCCACCAACTACCCCCACCCAACCCTCTACCCTAGACCTTACCACCCCACCCCGACCATACCCCACCCCCA